CGTTAAATTTCCTAATGACACAGAACAAATGGCTCTTCATCTTCTTCTGTTGATTATTTTGTTTCTATGGCCAATCAACCTCAAAGAGTTTCCTTAAATTTTTTTTTTCTTACAAAGATGAAATTTTGTGCTTCAGCAATCTTTTCTGAAAAATAATTTCATAAAAAAACATAATTTATTTGAGTTATATTATATGTAATACATCAACCAATCCGGCTTTTAATGGCCCTTTGAGCCATGGACTTCAATATGTATGTGTTTCAGGATATGTAGTTTTTTTCGTTGGTTTTATTTATTAACTTGTCTTGTATCGACGATATCGATCAAAAATAGAACTTCACATACACATGGGGCATGTGAACTTGTAAAACATCCTTTTCTTCATTTTGTCCCTTGAAAATAACTGATTGGACCATGGCTGTTATGAAATGATTTCTCTATTTCTGGTGTGCAAGCTGCAGCCGTAATTTCTTACTGCTTGCCTTGAGGGAGGAAGTTGCGGAATCAACAGTTTCCAGTTCATGACAGAGAACTCTGTTCTTTCCAGTTTTCAGTTCATACTCAACTTTCCCGATTTATATTCCAAGTTTCCAGTTTTCAGTTCATGACAGAGAGCTCTGTTCTTTCCAGTTTCTAGTTCTCAGATTCATATTCAAAGCTTCCAGTTTTAAAGGATGTTACGGAATGGAGTATAGAAGATCAAGGAATCTGCAGCAAGATCAAAATATATCAAAAATAAATCTGGAATAAAGAAGCAGTTCCAGAATTGGTCCAGTCAAAGTATGTTAAGGTTGTTAACGCTTGTTACAATGAGGTTAAATGGAGTGTTATTTGTTAACAGAAGTTCAAGCCCTGTTAGTTTACTTAAGCCAACAGAGTCGTTTTATCATACAGTAGTAAGGACCTTTTGTTCTGTTTCCCAATTTTTCTTATCAATAGTTTCCTCTTTGTTTTATTAATCTGAACGCAGAGCTTCATGTTCACATGCATTCTCAATAATTCTCATATCGCTCAGACCCCAAGTGAACAACTGAAAATCATAACCCTACCATAGCAAAAGAAGCTACAATACTCAATTTCATTTTAAGAACATATTCATTGATACTGAATATTCTTTTTCAGAAGATTGTATCTACAGCTCTAGCCTTGGATTTTGCACTAAAACGATGCTCAAGTGTACTCCAAACATCAAATGAAGTTCATCACTTGCTACATGACCAAACATAGATTATGATATTGAAGAAAACAACCAATTGACTAAAAGTTTATCAATTCTCTTCCACGAAAAATAGTCTGAATTAGATTGTTTTAATTACTAGAGTAGACGAGTCGTCAACCTTGACTGTTTTGAAGGAGGACAAGGTCTCTCCCCATTAATGAACCCCTCAAGCTCAAAGGATCTCAAAGCTTTAAGCACTTGAGATCTCCAAAAATTGTAACCTTCTCCACAAGCTGATTGAAATGGAAAGTAATAAAACTGGAAAAATAGAATTGTAAGGACAGTTAATTATCTTACAGAGTCATTTAAAGCTTAAATGTTAATTACAACTGCATAGTTAATTTGGTAGGCCATTTTGCATTATTCTCCTTGGCTATAACTTATCGAAAAATCGTTTTTTTAAAAAGGTTATAGACGACATATTGTTCATAAACTAATTAATTGAGCAAAAGCATGAAGAAAAGAAGAAGCAAAAGCACTTTGTATGAATATTATAGAGTGAGTTTGAATTAGATAAAAACACATTTTGCAATCAAGACAGCAGTTGCAATACCTTGAGAAGCATTAGATGAATTAAAACAAAGAAAATTAATAAGTGCTTCTGCAATAAGTACATTTCTCAAAAGTGCTTTCTAGAAACAATCCCAAATCCCAACTTGAGAATCCCGTTCACCTAACCAAAATTTTAGGATAACCCCACTTGAGAATACACTCCAAACATCAACATTTCACAATCCATCAATCAAAAACTAAACACCATAACACAAATGAATCTCAATCCTCAAAGCACATCAAACGAATTCAATTAAAGCCACAATAACTTAACTGCGCCACTGACACACATTATAACAAGGGCCCACACTCTGCTACTGCCACTGCCACTGCCAGGGACGATAGTTGGTTTTTCTAATTTTATTGGACCTAAGTGTTAAATTTTCAAAACTCAGGGGCTAGTATTTACCTGCGCTCTCTCCTAGTGACCCAACTATCAGGTATAGGTAGTAGCGAATACCTGAAACGAACAATTATCTTTCAACCCAGAAAAACTGTCTCTTTCAAGCTCCGATTCAACGCGAGAAAAAGAAAAAGAAAAAGAGAGTTGAAGAAGAACCCAGAAAGAGACTGCTCACTGGTCAGCCTTCGCTTCATTTCTACTCTTTTTTACTCTTATTGCGACAATAGTTTCATTTTTTATTAATTATTTACTTAAATAAAGAAATGGGAAAATTGCATGGGTTATGTTCGTTTATTGTTTTTGTTTCTTAGGCCAACAGGGCAATGGGGTTTCGTTCTTTTTCCAAGATTGGTAAAACCGTTGAGAAAGTTTCTGCATTCTGGAGTAATGTAAATAGACAGCAAAAGGGTATTTGTAACTCTGCAAAAGTTGGAGTCTTTGATAGGGAATGCTTGGAAACAAGATTTTTTGAGCAGAAGGAGGGTTTTAGGGCAACTGGGTTTGTTGATTCGATTATAAGGAGAGATGTTTTAGGGAGGTTTAAGTGAAACTCTGTGCAGTTAAAACGATTCTTTGGAAGCAGTGGTAATGCGGTTCAGTTGGACAGAGATTTCTTGCACAATTTTGGATTGCTGATAATAAACTGGAAAAGTCTAGAGTAAAAAAGAAGAAGAAAAGTTTTTACGAGTGAGAATTATGGTGAACCAGTTTCTGATGCTGGGCCGCAGGGAAGATGGTTTTCAGGTTCTGCTGTCCCAGAAGAATATCCTTATGAGCAGGGTAAACCAGTTCTGCGTCAACCTCCAGTCAGTCCGCCTGTCACTGGTCTTCTGGAACCTGGATCCCCGGATGAGGTGAATTTGTTTTTCTTATGCTTTAAAGTTGTTGTTAGATGATTGTATTGCTTGATTTGTTATGGTTACTTTATACAGTGTGAATGCTCTTTTGTTCCTTGGATAAACATGTCTTGCAATCAGCTTATTGAATTTATAATCATTACAGTTATTCCATCATTACATTGTGATGGTTAAAAGCCTCTGTTTGTTTTTATGTTTAGCAATGCATCCTGATTCAGTTTTTAATCACATGTTCTTTATTTAACTAGGTAAATCCTTTAATAGAAATCATGTGCCTGTGTTTGCGTTTTCAGTTTTGCCACTGGAGAAATGTAGGGGTTGGAGGGGTGGGGAGCATTATGTTAATATGGGCTTTGACATGCACAGATTATCTGTTTAGTTCTATTAAGTGTTACGTGACGTTGATTTAGGGCCTGTAGTTGGGACCAAAGTTGTTGATTTCGTTATTGTGGCAAAGCTCATCTTAATCGGACTCATGGTCAATGATTTGACAATCCTGTGCCTGGGTGCCTTTGTTGGTAGTTTAATAGGTTATAAATCAGTGAAAAAGTCATCTCTTGATTTGAGTTGCCAGACCAACGTTAATGATACCAAATTTAGGTGATTCTTGAGTACGAATAGCTCTATGGTTCAGTTACTGTATTGAGATAAAGAGACGCTCTATAAGTGTCTTGTGTCTTATTATATTACAAATGGGAAGCTTGGTTATGGTCAAGAGTGTTTTTAACCTTACAACGTTTGGGTAAAGGGCCATGATATACATGCACTGTGGATCTTATTAATGTAATGAGAAGCTTGGTTGTGGTCAAGAGTGTGTAACTTTATTAGTGCATATGTGTGCATGCATGATTCTACGTATTTGTATAATTTTGCTTAAGCATGGTTTCTTCATGAGTACTAATTGTCAAGTACAAGTAAGCAGTATACTGCCATTCACTTTCTAGTGTCTATAATTGTTCATCTGGATTCAACTCATTAAACTGTTACATTTTCTAGTCTGTAAGTATACTTAACTATATTATTTATCATTTCTTGAATATTTTAGGTCCTGGTTGCACCTCTTCTTGCAAGGTCCAATTTGCTGATTAACAGGGACATTGAGTGGGCCAATCTTGTACTTGGTTTTGAGAAGGTGAGATTTTCCCCTACTAGTTTTTTCTTTCTTTCTTTCTATCCTTCCTTGCATCCCTTATATAATTTGATGGCCTATAGTGTTATACCTCAAATTTAAGATTGCTTAAAATGCCCACTTTTCTTTTTCGGATAGAAACTCTACTATCATTGGTATTACATAAATTCAATAGAAGGCATTTGAAGTACCACGATGTTCATTTGCATTGTTTACTTTTAACTTTAGAATGAAATATTAGATCAAATACTTCTTGGAAATTGTGTGATTTTTTTACTGAAGCAAACATGGAAATTTTTCTTCAACGGTCTTCTTGTATGGAAAGCTATATTTCAATTATTATTTTGAGATCTGTTTGATTCTTGTTTGCACCCATGGTTGGCCTTGAATCATACAAGTATTTTATCTGTGTTGTTCTGGTGGTCTAGCACACTTATTTTTCATTTTGTGTTTTATATACATATTTTTGAGTTCGGAATTAAATTTGATATTGGCACTTATGTCAAGAACCCATATACCTGGTCATATGGCTGGTTGGTTAATGGTTCACTTGGAATTTAAGAAATTCTCATTTTGGTAAAATGAGTTTTAAGACTCCTATGAGCTGATTCTTGCATGTCATTGTATTTTGCTTGTCTGTTGTGCTGTTTGATTTTAGTGATTGATTTGTGATTTTGGGCTTTACTCATGGTTCAATAATGAAACAAGTGTTGGTTTGACTTGATTGTACCCCTTATTCCCTTTTAACTTATTTTTTCTAGCATAGTCCTTTTATTTTCTTTTAGTGTTCTGGACTCATATCTGTGCCTTTATTGCTAATTACTTGTTTTGGCATTTTAGGGAGAACCGTTACGCAGTAGTAGATGTATGCTATCCTCAATCAGTGAGTACCCAATATGTTTCCTCCTATCCTTTTGAACTCTTAAATATCAAATTAAAGTTATAAACAAAAAAGCTTCTTAGTGTAACAGTCTAATAAACTGCCTGATGTGTTTGCCTCATCTTACCTGGTGTTTATGAGTGCTAGAGTATGTGTGAATTTTCAGGAATAAGGGAATACCTGCATGGGTTCCAGCCAAGAAATCGAATAGCAAGTGATTCATGTTAATATACATGGCATAGTGGTAGACAGGCCCAGAGTTTTGTGTTTGGGTCATAAATATATTACATCATAAGTTTAAACATTTTTATGAGCTTGAGCATGCTGGTAAACTTTATTGTTTCTTGACTACACTATTCATGGAGTCATGTATAGCAACTTCAATGTTAGCTTTAAGATGAATACTACTGGATAAACTTGATAGTCTTGTTTGGAATGGATTAGTCTATGTAATAGAGATCTCATATGCTGATGCTTTCTGCTATTTTCTTCAGTTGGTTCGCCTGAGGGCCCTTTTGCTTAGATAACTGATGTTATGTGTAATGAACTTTCCAGGGTGAGGACTTTGTGCAGATTTATTTTTGATCTGGTGCAACAAGTCACTAGGTGCTTAGTTTTTGATAAATTGCTGTTTCAGCTTTAAGATTTTGTTTTACAACATTCAGGTTTGTAGGCCTTTCTGGTGGATAACCAGTTCAATTTATGCTGAAATTAACGTAAGGTATGTGAATTAAACAGTTCGGTATTGCGATGGTTTAAGAAATTCCAAATATCTATACTGCATTTCGTTTATTTATGATGCCTGTATTTCCTCCTCACTAGGAAATTGGTGTGGTTCACAGAGGATGGCATCTGTGGAGGAGGGTGTATGATTTATACCTCAAGTATATTAACATTTTCAGTCCTTTGTTACCGCCCCAACCAATGGAAAGTTCAGGCTTTGTCTACGTGACCAATAAATGTTCCCATTTCTGCCCTTTCTTATTGGGCTTTCAGGCTGAACTATTTGGCTGTCTTCATGTGCAATATTTCAATTCATTTTTTTAGTTTTATTCTGCATCATCTAAATTGTTAAAGTTTTTTATCATGTTATTTGTAGGAACAAGTAGTTTGCAGTTGTTGAAAATCCGGGCTTCTAGAATTGGACATTTACTTTGAAGGATATAAATGGGGAAGTGCTGGCTGAGATAGATCATGATTGGAGAGGTTTCGGTTTTGAGGTTCGCTCCTTTCCTTCTAAGACATTATACCATTAATTACATGCTGGCCTTTAAACATTGTTTTTTCTCTCCTTATATTGTCATAACTGTATATAATTTGTTTGGTTAAAAATTATTACACTTTAAAGAGACAAGTTTTGGAGTGTACATGTTTTTGTCATGTTCTACTTTGAATGATTTGCTCACTGAATTTGTTTCCAATATAGTATGTTGTATATTCTTTTTTTTTTTTTTTTATTATTTTATTTTTATTTTTTCCCTCAATGTAAATCAGATCTTTACGGATGCTGGTCAATATTTGATCCGTTTTGGGAATGCTGATTCCTGGTCCAAGACTGGCCCTCCTGAGTCTTAAGCACCACGCCAGAAAGTTGATTCTCCTGTATTTTAAATCCATTAATACAACAATTTTGCCCTGGGCAGATTCAAGAGTTGGAAGTTGTTCGTCCTTTAAACCTGTTCGAGAGAGCTGTAACTTTTGCTTTAGTTATATCTCTGGATATTATTATTTTTCGAGGCATGGTGGCTGGTAAGCTTTTTGGTTAGATCTTATAATGACTTAGGTATTGATATAACGCATTCGCTTGACGGCACGAAAATTAAGCTTAAAGGTTGGAAATTCTCTGTATGAGCTTGGCACTTGAGCTAGGTTTCCCAGCCTACTGTTGTTTGCATGTTGTTCAACTTTTCCTGATACAAGGACCCAATACTGAAGTTCCAAAACACTGTCATGAGTGCTTTACCTATGTGTGTTTCATGGACCCTTGGGAGACTAACAAAGTCAGTATGATCAGGAAGTATTAATTCCTCTGAAATTAGTATAAGCTCTGTTAAAATTAACAATTAAGAAAATAAAAGATTTCTTTCCCCTTCATAAAACGCATACACATCACCATGTTCTTTCACTATATCACTCACCTCTAATCTCCATAAATATGCAACTGTCCCAAAAAATCTAGCAGGTCTACCTTTCAATGCTAACGGAGGTGGCAGAAGCCACCAACTGCAGACCATGAACCACAAAATTTGTACGTTTGGGTTTCTTTGTTAAATTACAAACAAAAAAACTAACGTTCCTTGCTCAGTTCGTGATTTTGAGTTGTGATGCCTGTGGTTTTGTTTATTTGGTGTATGGTTTGGTAAATTGATTTTTAATGAAGGAATTCTTTATGGGAGATGTTGTGTTTTGATGGATTTCAAGAAAAGTAGAACAAATTGGGAATCAAGAAAATTGTAAGGGAAATGGTTGGGGAAATAAACTTTCTGAGAATTTTGCAGGAGAATTTTTTGCAAGAAAAATTCTCATGAAAATTCTATATTCACAATTCACATCTGTTTTCTGTCCATCTTTTTTTTTTTTTTTTTTCTAGGTTGGGTTTATAAGAAAGTTTTATCCTATGAGATGTGTCAGTTCTGCAATTTGGTTCGAGTGAGATTCGATCCGCAGATCTTTATTATATGAAGTTATTCCAAATCATTTATGATATATGTATATATTACCCCAATAATGTTATTGAGTGTAACAATTGCTTATCCATGATGCTGGGATTGTTGCCTTCCCGTAATGATGCTGGGCAACTATGTATGTGTGGAGTTAAATTTTCACTTGTTTAGGAATTCAAGGGAAAGTTTCTTAGGTAGACTAAGAGTTGGGTTGATATAATTTGTAATTCAATGAGGGGGGAACATCAAAGGGAACTTCAGTTGTGCAATAAAACTCTGAAAAGATTGATTTTGTCGATAGTGAGATAACCGCTGATCACTATTCATCTGGTTCATCTTTGAGTACTGGATAATTTTTCAATAGTGTCAATTTTGATGTTTGTGATATTTTATTCATTAAGTATATTTGTGATATTTCTGCAATTTATTCTACTTGTATCATATATGAACTAATAGAGGCTGTTAATACTGAATTCTATGTAATGCGATCTTCCAAGACGATAAGCCTATAAACCATTGATCATATACAAGTAAAAAAGTGCCTTGAGTTTATGGTTTTCACTTTCATCTTGTCCAGGTGATTGGAGTTTTACGTCACTACCTATTTGTTTCTCTCTACCATATATCTCTTTCTTTTTTCAGGCTGTCAACACGTGTTAAATGTAAGGTAGATTTTAATCCTGATTCGGAGCTTGAATTCAGACTCATGCTCAAGTTTGGAGTGATAACTTATGGAACTCCTGTGACATTGTCTTCTTATGGAAATGGCTAAAAGGGTAGGTACTCTACATAAGCAAGGTCGAATGACTAAACAGAGCAGATTTTGTTATTATCCATATGCATTGTAATCCTCTCTCACTCTTTTTCAGGATTTTTTATTGGTGGAGTGTGAAGTTTTTATTAGTTGAATATGCCGAAGGCTGAAAAAAAACAAAAAATTATTGCTGCAAAACTAGAGAACAGAAAAACAGAGTTTTTTGTTCAAGTCTGCTTGATTTTATTTCTGATTTGCTTGAAATACAATACTGATACGTTGCATCCTTTTTATACTAAGACAAAGAGAATTCTAGATTTAACACTGAAAAGATAAAGATAATCAGATGCATAAAAAGGAAAACAGATCATACTAGAATTCTGCAGAATCCTAGTCATGGATAATCAGTGCATTAATTTCCAGGATGTACTCTAGGAGAAACGTCCCTAAATTCGAACAATATGCATCAATGGAAACACATGATCTTATTCTCTTTTCTTGTCACTCTTTCGAAATTTGAAGGTCAACATCAGTTGAAAAATTGACAGTATCTGATAGTTCTCCAGAGATTGATGAACTACTGTCAAGGTGATTGCTTATGTCACCATCGATATAATTAACATCTTCACAGTTTTGTTGCATAATTGAAGCTCCATTCAGTGCTTTAATCCCAGCTAATTGACTTGCTACTTCTCTCATTGTTGGTCTCTTCTTTCCATTGAGATTCAAACATCTTCTTATAAGATCAGCAACATTTATAATCTCTTCTTCCCTACCTTCCTTTAGAACTCTAGCATCAAGGATTTCAAAAAGACGATTCTCCTTCATTGCACATGAAAAATATGCTGCTAAACTTTTATCTTCAATAGAACCTGTTGAACGAATCGGCTTTTGTCCTGTTAAAAGTTCAGCTAGAACTACTCCAAAGCTATAAACATCACTTTTCTCTGTAAACTGATTTGATTGAAAGTACTCTGGATCAACATATCCAAATGTCCCAAGTACTTGAGTTGTCAAGTGAGTTTCTTCAATTGAAATAAATCTTGAACTCCCAAAGTCTGACACTTTTGCTCGATATTTTTCATCCAAAAGTATGTTTGTAGACTTAATATCCCGATGATATATAGGTATGGAAGTAGCTGAATGCAAATAAGAGAAAACACCTGCAACTTCAATGGCAATACGTAAGCGTAGTTCCCATGTTAATGGTAGCTCCTCACTTGAGTCATTTATATGTTGGAAGAGAGTTCCATTAGGAATGAACTCATAGACTAGGAGAGGAACTTCAGTCTCTAAGCAGCATCCTAATAATTGAACCACATTTCGATGGTTAATTTGTGATAAAATTACCACCTCATTAATGAATTCCTCAATTTTACTTTCATCCACCATCTTGGACTTTTTTATAGCCACAATTTCTCCTTCTATTAACATTCCTTTATAGACAGTGCCCTGACCACCTTGACCAAGGATTCGATTCGCATTATAATCGTCAGTGGCAATTTCCAATTCCTCTGAGGTAAACAATTTTGTTTTTTCAATGTTACCTTCCTTGGAAGACAGTTGTTGTTGTAATAACAAGCCACCATTTTTCTTAAAGAATTTTTGCTTCAGCCTGATAGCTTTTCTTTCCTTTATGTACTTGTACAACCTCCATGATCCAATGACTAGTAACAATGTTCCAAGCCCAGAGCTGCAACCTGTGCAACAAAAGGTGTGCTCAATTTAATATCCAAAATTTTGTATACATTTCTTTTTCTCTTTTGTGGATGTCCATATTACTCTTTTAAAAAAAGGGAGGGACTTATAGTCCAAATTGTAGGAGATCTTTGGAGACAAATTTGGGAAATTCTATCAATTTCTACGAAAAAAGATTATCAAAACAATTAAAATGATAATTTTTCATTGAGCTTTTCCCATCACCAGTTTAAGTCTAGATCTGATAAAAATAACACTATTTACATTTACAATTTGTGCATACAAAAATTTCCCTATAAAACGATATGAAATTATTCTAATATTGTCATATCATTCAATCTTATTTAAGTTTTTGTATTATCATTTTAAATATTATAGAGGTACTCGTCCCGAGAAAAAATGAATGTCATATATAGAGAAAAGATGAAAACGCATACCTATGAAAATAAAAAACTTGTTTCGAGATTTTTTTACAACAAATTCATCATCACGTCTTGATGTGGAGCACCGTCGTTCAGGCTCTTGGGGCCTAGTATCATAAGGGTCAGAAACACCAGACTTGTATCCAGAAGGACATTCAGTGCAACATTCAGTGCAATTGTTGCCGCTCGTCATTCTACAAATCAAGTCACCTACACAATTAAAAGCAGAAAAACAAAGGGAAAATCCAATTAGCTTATATATCATGTCTAACTTTTTAACTAAATGAATGATAAATTTTACCTGCACATCCTCGAAAGCTGTCAGATTTTTGACCAAAACAGCTACAGTAATGGTTTGAGCTTAACTTGATCATACAGTAATCATCCTTATTACACTTTATTGGGCCTGAATTATATGGTTCCACACATCTTCCTCGATATTTTCCCCATTCCAATCTTATAGGAACAGGTTCATCATCTTTGTGTTCGATCAAAGCTTTTGTATTCGCTAGGTAATCTCTTCTGAACCATTCCCCATCAGCTACGAAGCTAGATTTGCATCCCTGGATGTTAAAGCTTAAGTTTGCTTCATCAAACTTATGATGTGGAGGAATTGTACATATGAAATTAAAGCAACCATGATTTTTAGTAGGATCACAAGTGGAAATAGACAAGCACCTATCAGTAATATGAGTTTGGTTGATAATGTTATAATCCTTACAACCAATAGCAACCAACCTATTGTACTTATCTGAAAAGGAAAAATGCTTGCCTGACAGCTTAAAGATTTTAGCGATGCTTGTTTTGATGCTACTCATAGAATTAGAAATGTTGACGCCAACCGTACCCATTAGATAATATGGGTCTTCAAATAGTTCTAGATTGCTGCCAGATAAGAAAGCTCTTGAAGAGTTGACGCAGGTTACTTCGAAGCTCTTATCGAAGTAGCATTCTTCTCCGATACCAAAGGGGTAAGATACGGAGATATCACCACAGTATGGTTGACAATTTTCTGATGATGATTTGATTGGCAAGAGTAACACCATAAGCTGCAAGAGAATCAGATGACAAAGCGCCATTACTCATACACCTCACTTCTTTTGGAAAATTATAAGTTAGTGGAGATTTATTTATAGTAGTAAAATTCCATCACTATAGCCAGAAATTAAGCAAATACCTCGAAAGTGCGTTCGCTGTAATTCATATTTTCTCTCTCCTTCAGTGACTGCAAAGTCCCTTTTGCGTAAACTTGTTGACCCACTAACCCACCCTCATTTTGTTATAAACTAAAACGTGATTCATGATTTCTGATAGTACGCGTCCATATTTTTATTTTCTGGTCAAACCTTTCCTGCTTTGAATTTTTTAGTATTTTTTTTTTTTTAAGTCTAAAAGTAAAGGACAATAAAGCGTAAGAGCAATGCAATTTCTAGCTAAGTGTTTACCAGCTGGAGTACCGAGGTTAATTTTTGCTATATATACATAAAAATCTCCATCAATTTTCAAAACTTCAAGAAAAAAGAAAACATAGAGTTGATGGCTGTTCATCTTTTGGTATTGCTGAAAATCATTTTGCTACTGTGGCCAATCAGACCATCAACGGCATTATCATGTCCCCAGAACTGTGGTGAAGTCAAAATACAGTACCCCTACGGTACCGGAGAAGGTTGCTACCTCAATAAGGGGTTTGAAGTAACATGCCGAAAATCTTCTGGCTCTCCAAAAGCTTTATTAAGTAGCATCAATCTGGAACTACTCGAGGACACTTTTGATTCCTCAATAGGAATTAGTCCTGGTATATACATGGACTTCATGAGAATCAACGTCAGCATTCCTGTGATTCTTCTGAATCGCGGCAAGGCGAATATTTCTGAAAGTGTAAACCTGTCAGGTAGCCCCTTTTACTTTTCATCAGCAAATACGTTCGTTGCCATGGATTGCAACCACTATGCTAACTTCAGCAGCCCGAATGAAGAATTTGGTGCTGGGTGCCTGTCATTTTGTACTTGCGATCCTAATTATTCTTTAGGCTGCTATGATTTCACATGTTCCATTCCTCCGAATCATAAGTTTTATTATGCAAACTTGTCAAGCATTTATTCTGAAAGTATTCTCCGGGATTGCAGTTCCGCCTTCGTGGTTGAACAGTATTGGTTCGAGTCAAGCTACCAATCAAATCGAGATGGTTTTAAAAGTAAAAAATATGTCCCTGCAACGCTGGACTGGGGAGAATATAATGGAACATGTGTGGAACCATACAATTCCGGCACTACATTTTGTAACGACGATAATTACTGTTTAATACAGTTAACCTCAGGCCATGTTTGTCTTTGCAAAGATCGACGATCCGAAACCTCCCTAGGATGCAGAGGTACACATCCTCTGTTCAAAGTCACTTTAAACATTGTATTAAGCAATGATCTAATTTTATTTATTTATTTTCTGATTGTAATGTACAGGTATTTTATACTGCAATATGACCGGCGGCCAGAATTGCTCTAAATGTCCTCCCGGTTATGAACACGATCACCAGTACAAAGAGTGCTCCCCACTGAGAAGTTATGATGATATGTTTATAAAAAGCCCCCGGATAAAATTTTTCGTTATCATAGGTACGCACATATTTCCAATCATGAGTTTCTGTTATCTAGACAATGTTCATAATTGACATGTTCATAAAAAAAAAATGATAATATTTCAGCTAAAAAATATATCTATCTAAAGTATTTGCTAGTAATGATACATTTGAAGGTCTTGTTATTTTAATTTTTGGGTTGTGTAGGTTGCAGTGCTGGGCTAGGAGTGTTGTTACTACTCATGGGAATATGGTGGTTGTACAAGTTCATCAGAAGAAGAAAAGAAATGAAGCTGAAGCTGAAATTCTTTAAAAGAAACGGTGGTTTGTTACTGCAAAAACACTTGTATTCCGATGAAGGACGTGATATTAAGAAAACAAAATTGTTTACTTCAGAGGAATTGGAAAAGGCTACAGACAATTTTAGCAAAAATCGAATTCTTGGTCAAGGAGGACAAGGCACGGTGTATAAAGGCATGCTCGCAGAAGGAAGAATAGTAGCGGTTAAAAAGTCCACGGTAGTGGATGAAAGTAAATTGGGAGAGTTCATTAATGAGGTTGTGATTTTGTCACAAGTTAACCATCGAAATGTGGTTGAACTATTGGGGTGCTGCTTGGAGACAGAAGTTCCTCTTTTAGTCTATGAGTTCATTCCTAATGGAAATCTCTTTCAATATATAAATGACCCAAGTGAGGAGTTTCCAATCACATGGGAGTTGCGTTTACGTATTGCCATAGACGCTTCAAGTGCTATATCTTATCTCCATTCGGCTGCTTCTATTCCTATATATCATCGAGACATTAAGTCTACAAATTTACTTTTAGATGAAAAATATAGAGCAAAAGTGTCCGACTTTGGAACTTCAAGATATGTTGCAGTTGACCAAACTCACTTGACTACTAAAGTATATGGGTCTTTTGGATACTTTGATCCAGAATATTTTCGATCAAGCCAATTTACAGAGAAAAGTGATGTTTATAGTTTTGGAGTAGTTCTTGCTGAGCTCTTAACTGGACAAAAACCAATTATTTCAATTAATAATGATGAAGCACAAAGTTTAGCATTATATTTTCAGTGTGCAATGAAAGAGAATCGTCTATTTGAAATTCTTGATGCTCGAGTTCTACAAGAGGCTGGGAAAGAAGAGATTATAAGAGTTGCTAATCTCACAAAAAGATGTTTGAAGTTAAATGGGAAGAAGAGACCAACAATGAAAGAAGTAGTAAGTGAATTATCTAGGATTAGAGGATTGAGTGGAGATTCAACTATGCAACAAAATTATGAAGAGACCGATTTTGTTGATGGTAAAATAACTAATCGCTTTGCAATTGGTTCCTCAGTCGTCGGGTTGTCACTTTCTAATAATGCCAGTTTTCAAGAGTCATCAGCACTCCTTTGATCTTCATAAATTGTCATGAAATGAGGGGAATTGTTTAAGTTATGGTGTATCCCGAAGTTTTGAAATTTATTTTGTCTTTTTTATGGATATTATGTAACGCATGTTTATGTTCGAGAATAAAAATTTATGAGATTAATTCAAGCAAATTTATAATTAATTCAAACAAAGTTATTAGCAAATACAGTAGCATGAAGGCCGTAGATCATGTGTGCCAATGTTAGATCTAGTATGGGACAAGCACTTTAGAAGTTTTATTCTTGTTGCAAGGGTTTCGAAAAAATTGTTTGAAGTAACAAGGCATATATATATATGTTTAAACATAGAATAAGGTTACTCTACAAATTTGATTAAATTTGAAAAAAAAAAAAATAAATATATAAGATGAATATGTAAAAGCATCTCGGGTTCTAACTTTTATAATAAAAATGATAACATCGATCAATTAATATGATCATTCCAATTAACAAAAAAATGCATACAATTTTACAAAAACTCCTCATTTCAATATCACGTTAATTCTATGGTAAATAAAAATACCATCTAACTATAATATGAAAATGTGTAACATTAATCCATAGTAACTATATATAAAATAATAATAACTAAATAATACAACATATATCATCAACCACACATAAAGTTTATAGAAATTAAAAAGAAAATCAGAGGTGGCAGAAGAAATTTCTAAGATGGTACCTGAAGGGGTGAGAGAGGTTTGCGTGTGAAAGTATTGAGTTTGTAGAAAACTGAAGATGAAAAGAGATTACAGTTAACATCAATCAATTCATTTTAATTGATTACAGTGGAGACCCACCACGTGAAGGGAGGAAGAAAACAATTGAGTTTTGGTGGATCCAAAGGTGTTTCATATAAAGTTTCCAAGTAAATATTCTCATAATTGACCAAAACGTACTTGTTTCATGGTTTGTAAAAGCATTTTCTTATATGATTAACAGACCAATTAACTACCTAGAAAGTGCAATATTTTTCTGTCACTCATTCTCCATCTAGACTTTTAATTTTTAATAATTATAAAAATTAATTAATTAATATGACTTTTCACTTACTGGCCTACTTTCAAAGTCAGTCTTCATTTTTCTTCAAGCCAAAAAAATAAAATAAAATAATTGAATAAGAACTTGAAAGGGACTGGTTGAAGAAGAATCAAATGAAGATTATTGAAGATGATTTTTCATCAAATAAGAGACAAATGGAGCACCCTACAAGCCAATTGCCAGTGGAGCCCATAATCAAAGATTCCAACTCTTAAAAAATTGATGATAGTTTGTTATCTTTTGTCTACTCATTTTTATTTTTGAAAAGTTTATGAAATTATTGTGACATAACTCACAAATCCATTTTCATTACATACAAATCATGATGAATTGAAAAGTATTTTGTGTTAGTATCAAATGTTGTACCAATTCTTCCACATAGAAAAATTGCATAGGATAGGGAAACTGATTTAAAGTTGAAATGGACAGAATCATTATGATTACTCTAGATTAGTTGAAGAAGAGTCTATCAAATACTAAATGAAGATTCCAGCTCAACTTCCCTAGCTAAATAATTAGAATACTATGCTAGACAAGTATTGAATAAGAACTTGAAAAGGACAGTTACACTAGACTAGTTAAAAGAAGAGTCAAATAAAGATTGTTGAAGATGATTTTTCATCAAGTAAGGGACAAATGGAACATCCTACAAGTCCATTGTCAATTGAACTCGTAATTGAGGTATCTGGACACAATTGTGGAACACCTTACAAGCCCAATTGCACAAATGGTAATTGCCTAAATGTGGTAGATGTTTATCCTGCGACTTAAACATAAGACCCCTAATTAAGTACAATTAACCCTAATGACTAAAATGCTTGTCATCCGACCACAAAAGGAGAGGTTATATGATGCTTTTGTCATAACCTTTTTTATCTTTTTTTTTTTTTTAATTGTAAAACAAAATAATATAAAGAAAAAAATAATAAAGAAAGAAAGAAAACCAAGAATAAATTTCTTAACAACTCTAATGAAAATGACAGACCTTGAATTTTCAATGTAATATTTAGTCAATGTAGAACTATTACTTTTCATATACTAATCAAAAATTCCAACTCTTAGAAGATTGATGATCAATTTGTTCCACTCATTTTTATCTTTGAAAAGTCTATGAAATTATTGTCACTGAATTCACAAATCGATTTTCATTATGTACAAATTACAATGAAAAGTATTTTGTGTTAGTATCAAATGTTGTGCTATTTCTTTCACATAGAAAAATTGCAAGGACATGGAAACTAGTTTAAAGTTGAAAGGGACAGAATCATTTTGGTTACTCTAGATTAGTTGAAGAAGAGTCTATCAAATACTAAATGAAGATTCCAGCTTAACTTCCCTAGCTAAATAATTAGAATACTATGCTAGACTAGTATTGAATAAGAACTTGAAAAGGACAAAACTATTTTCGTTATATTAGACTAGTTGAAGAAGAGTCAAATGAAGATTGTTGAAGATGATTTTTCATCAAATAAGGGATAAATGGAACACCCTACAAACCAATTGTCAGTCGAACCTAATTGAGGTATTCGAGCACAATTGCAGAACACCTTACAAGCCCAATTGCACAAACGGTAATTTCCTAAATGTGGTAGGTGTTTCTCTTACGACTCGAACACAAGACCCTTAGGTATAACTAACCCTAGTGACTAAAGGGCTTATTATCCCACCACAAGAGGAGACGTTATATGATACTTTTGTTATAACCTGATTTATCTTTCTTTTTTTTTTTATAAATTGTAAAACAAAATAATAGAAAGAAAAAAAACCAAGAATAAATTTCTTATCAATTCCAATGAAAATGACAGGCCTAGAATTTTCAATGCAATATTTAGTCAATGTAGAACTATTACTTTTTGTATACTAATCAAAGATTTTAACTCTTTGAAGATTGATGATCTGTTTGTTGTCTTTTGTCCACTCATTTCTATCTTTGAAAAGTCTATGAAATTATTTTGACAAAATTCACAAACCCATTTTCATTACGTACAAATTACGATGAATTGAAAAGTATTTTGTGTTAGTATCAAACATTCTACCAAATTCTTCCACATAGAAAAATTGCATAGGACAGGGAAACTGGTTTAAAGTATAAAGGGACAAAACCATTTTCGTTACTCTAGATTAGTTTAAGAAGAGTCTATCAAATAGACAAATACAAAATGAAAATTCCAACTCAACTTCCCTAGCTAAATAATTAGAATACTATGCTGGTTTTTAATTCTATCTATTGCTAATTATTTTACAGAGCACATGTATATAAGTTGTGTAGTTGATTATCAAATTATTATACTAACATCTGGTATATCCATGTTTTGATTAGCTCGATGTTTCATTTCTTAAATATGGTGGAAATAAATTGAATAATGTTCTGAACTGTGTAAGTACACAACAAAGAGAATGACCATAAATTCAAGCTTTGATTCTGTTACAAGCTGCAGCAAAAATTTTAATGGAATTTATCCAAATAATTAATACTTGCATACTGGAAAACAAATCTATCTATTTGACAAATTGAAAGATGTGATATTCATTTTAATTAATGAATCAAAAGACAATCTTGAAAACTGAATTATAAATTTTAAGAAATGGAAATCACAATTAATACAAATAGAAGATAACCCCTTTGCTTTTTCATGTTATGAAATGATTTGTGTATTCTGGTGTGCAAGCTACAGCAACAAATTCTTACTGCTTGGCTGGAGGGAGGAAAGGAGGCTACGAAGTCAGTAGCCACCAAACAGAGAGGAGACCAAACTCCTCTGGTTTCCAGCTTATATTCAAGTGTTTGGGAATTTTGAACTCAACGGCTACATTAATAGAGGTTGCCGAATTCTGTTAAAAAGTGTTAGCTCTCATTAGGAGAACGGTGCGTTTCACTGTACAATTGGAAGTCATGACCTCAACGACTTCATATTATAGTAGAATAATAGTGTAGTATGTAGAATTTTAGTTTAATGATGTAAGATGTGAGATATTAGTGTCATACTTAATAAAAGATTATGAAAACCGATAATATAACATGAAATATAAGATTGATAACATAATATAAAATGTTCATTGTTAATCTAACATTTAATGTAAAGAATCTATGTTTTAATATGTTAGTAATCTCATATTATATGTTATTAATTCCATATTAGTCAATATTTGTATATGCTCTTTTAAAAACTCAAAAAATAAAAAATAAAATAAAGTAACTTGGGCTTAGAGGTACGGGCCAATTCAATTTGAACCAGGCCCTCTCGGCCCATAATACTTATATAAAATCGATCCAACGACAAAAGAAAATAGTTATAAGAACCTAAAAAAAGTTGGGATTTCACTTGCCAATCAGATAATTAAATTGTTAACTATTAACTACATATTTTGATGATTTTTTCAACATGCTTTCTGATTGATTTCAACAAAAATCATATTTTGATAGTTCTAGACAATGCTTAAATATATGAATTATTCATTGTAAACAATTGACAGACAACAATTGCATACAATACACATTGAGAAAGAGGCAAAATATGACATTAAAACCAATATGCATAGGGCAAATTGACACCAACTTATATGTACTTCTATATAAAGTAGCATTGTCTTAAGAAAACTACATTTGCTCAACTAAAGGCTGATTCTTAACCTCATAAGGCAAACCAAACTCAATATATCAAAAATTAAGCTTCCACTAAGCATATTAGTAAAGTTACAAAGCTGACCCAAAATAATTTCAACATGAATACTTCAATTAAGTACATTTATCCTAAGTAAATACTGCATTTATTGACCAGCGTGTTGAAATTAATTTCAGAAGAACTTTCAATTATAACAAGAGTACTTCAATTAAGCAGATTCCTTCTAAGTGGACAGCATTCCTACACTAATTTTAAGCTGAAACCTCATAAAACCACCATAAAAAACCAAACTTTCAACAAGCACATTAACAAGGACTCAAACTTGGCAGCAGTTCAGATCATAAAATTCCAAAATGCAAAGAAATACAAACACTTACAGCTCAATTCTTTCACTGTTCTTTCTCAACAACTTTAGATTATCATGCTCAA